AGAGCGGTTTAAAAAGTGCAAAGAAAGATTCACAGCTCCTTCCTAAAGCACACCACCTCATTCCACAGGTGGGAAGGAGGCTGCCTGAGCAGCTGACTGTCGTCTGTGGACCTCACTTAACCTGCTATGAAATAACCAGGCAAAACAGAAGGCCCTGAATCAAGGCCAAACTATATCTTCCAATACCACTGGACGAGAAATCCAATGTCCTTACAGAAGCTGGACTTTAAAATTCTTTGTTTCACATGGATAGACAAGAGTATTTATGTCAGACTCTATGTGCACCTTAGATTATCTCACTGTCTGTGTTTACCTAAGTGGATCAAACACTCCTGAGAGTAAAGAGTGTGCTGTCTCCTTTTTTTAAACATCTCTAACCAGAGTGCACATGTGCACGCGTACACACGCACAGCCTACAGAGCACTGGGCAGCTGTCCACACAGGTGGAAGGTGGTGTCAGCACATGATGACCACTGAAGACCACAGTGAAAGGTTGTCCCGTTACCGTGTGTCACAGCTTTCCTCCCACTGGCCATGATGCCGTCACAGAGCTGGATGATTTTAGGAATTCCAATGATCTGTTTTGAATGATAGCGTTCATAAGACAGTAATACCAGGAAGAAAAAGATGTTTGGAATAATTGCCTCTGATTCCCTAGAAACAAAAACATCCATTTAGACGCTTCCTTTTAAAATGAAGAAACATAACCAATATAAACAGCATGAAATTACTCTCGATTCAGAGTTGAGAGAGCACATGTGAGAAAACGGGAGAGCACGAGGAGGAATGAGCGGGCGCTGAGCTCAAGGACCCTCGGGACCCAGTTTAGTCCAGCTGACGTCCTCCCGTGTTCCCGGCTCGGGATGGGGCCAGCACGTCTTCTGGGGCGCCTGGGCTAAGTGAGGGCCTGGAGAAGGCGCCCAACAGGAGAAAAAGTAACTGACACCCAAAGGAGAAAAAGTAACCTGCCTCAAATCACATGGTCGAGAACAAGAAACTATGCCTCCAGACCCAGGGGACTCTCAGAACACTTTCCTCTGCGCTATGTTTCCCTAACTAGTTATCAGTTAGTTCAGAAACTGAAGAATTTTAATTTTCTATAATTATACTTATAGGAGGAAGTATTCAAACCTTACAGTCTAGCAAAGAAAAACTGCAGTTAATATAAGTACAGTGCATAGTAATTACCTCTATTAAAGACAACTGTATTCAAAAACCGTCTTCTCTAAGATTAGAAAAATTAGTGCTCTATCAAATGAGACTTCATTTAGAAAAACTATTATAATTCAACGCTTTGAAATACGAAATGAAAACTGACAACACGTGATTATCAGATGCAGAATTACTTCTCAACACGGCTTGAGATACTTATTCATTCAGTTTTAGAAGAAACAAAAATCCTCAGCGTGTCAATCAGATTTCCATTAAAAATAATGCTTAGCAAAAATGCCTAACAATCCTTTAAGATAAACGCTCATCCTACGTGCAGGGACTCCCCTGGCGGTCCAGTGGCTAAGACTCCGCGCTTCCACTGCAGGGAGCACGGGTTCGGTCCCTGGTCGGGGGAACTGAAATCCCGTACGCTGTGCAGTGCAGCAAATAACACAACATAACGTTACGTGTGATTACGTGACACGGACAAGGAATGCAGAGTTACCTGAACTGGCCCACTTCAATGTATTCAAACTGCTTCAGCACAAATCCGATGAACACCTACAGGCAGAAGAATAAACGCTTTACATCAGGAATCAAAACGCGCAAAAAACTAGGTTACGCTTCTTCATACCCATTTGTATAAACCTTTAACAAGTTTCCTGGCAGTAAACTTGTTTGTGCACAAGGACTCAAACGTGGTCTACTGTCAGACTAGATAATCTCAGGACACTTCCAGAAATCCCTCTAAACACATTTACTGAACACTGAGGTGAAACCTGTTGGGAAAAACAGATGATGAATTCCAGGAGCCCCAGGCAGCACCCAAAAGGCACAGCGGCAGGCCTCGTGTGCTCCAGCTCACGGCAAGCCGCACAGCACGGATTTCCTGAAACTGGCTTAGGGATAAAGATGCCCAAGTGAGTCCAACTTCTCCCCCAGCGCCCCCAACATTCAAAGGAGCTGGGTACCGAGGGGTGCGGAGGGGAGGGTGGCCTTGAGAAGCAGAGGCAGGACCCTCACGACTGGCTTACAGCCAGTTCTGTGTCACATTCCAAGTGCCCAAATTCACCCTCCAACCTGAAGCATGGAGCTTACCTCCAGTTTCCTCCTCGCCCCCGGGTGTGATACAGGTGCTCAGTAAATCACTATCTGAACTGAGTTAAATCACTTGCCTGTTCTATTGATAGTTTTCTATCCTTGTCCATAAAAACTGTCAAGGTGGGGCTTCCCTGGTGGCGCAGTGCTTGAGAGTCCGCCTGCCGATGCAGGAGACGCGGGTTTGTGCCCCGTTTCGGGAGGATCCCACATGCCGCGGAGCGGCTAGGCCCGTGAGCCATGGCCGCTGAGCCTGCGCATCCGGAGCCTGTGCTCCGCAAATGGGAGAGGCCACAACAGTGAGAGGCCCGCATAACGCAAGAAAAAAAAAAAAAAAACTGTCAAGGTACTGAACCCTAAGAATTGGGGGGAAAGGGCGCTGAGTGACAGAAACAAATCGGAACAAACGTGGGGAGAGAGCGCCCATGGCAAGAAAACCTAACGCCACCAAGTAAGAGGCAGAAAGTGCTGGGCTCGCAGCGAGGCCCGCACATCAGACCACCTGTGCGCGTGCGCAGAGACGAGCACAGCACGGAATTCTCTCTCGACGCTTACGTATCAGATGGGGACTTTAGAAAGACAGAAGAAAGCAACAAAAATCACTCCGTTTTGGAGAAGGGCTCTGTGTAGAATGCCTAAAGACAGAATTTGATAAAGGGCTGTCTGACCAGGGTACGGCCAAGTGGAGAGCTGTGTTCTTTCTCTGTCCACTGACGGCAGCCACTGCAGAGACCAACCACCACCTGAGAGAATCAGTTTCCTCCCACGACGAGTCAGAAGGGGGAAACTGAGAAAGGCGGCCCGTGTCCTCTGAGAGTGCAGCCAGCCCGGGCTCTGCTCTCCCCTGGAGCAGCAGGCACGGGGGAAGCCCAGGGAGGACCCACCTTCCCAGACTCCCCTCGTGTGCCCGTGCCTGCTTCCCTCTCGGCCACGGCTGCCCCCCACTTCAGATGAGGGCTTCTCTCCACCCAAGCCCCTGCGTCACAGCCCGGGAACCGTCCCGCAGTGAGCGTCATCCCCAAGGAAGGAAACGGCTCTTTGAGTGATTTTCCTCGGAGAACGAGAGCAGGGGGTGGGACAATGAAAATGCTGGGTCAAAACAGAGCCCCTGCCCCAAGTCCGCTCTCATCAGGTGACCCCCCAACACCACCTGTGGGGAAACCAGCGTCCTGAATGTGTTTGCTCGCTTCTCCTGGTGAGTTTCTCAAGGTGCGTGGCCGGTGGGTGGTTAGAGACCGGTCTCTGCTGGGGCTGCCGTCAGGGGACAGAGAAAGAACACTCAACCGTGCCCTGGTCAGACAGGCCTTTATCAAATTCTCTCTTCAGTCATGCCACACACAGCCCTTCTCCAAAACGGAGTGATTTTTGTTGCTTTCTTCTATCTTTCTAAAGTCCCCATCTGATACATAAGCGTCGAGAGAGGATCACCTCAACGATAGTGCTACACCACAGATACAGTGGTGTCTAGAAGGGAATGGAGAATTGCAGTATTTCCTATCTCATAGGAAAGCAGCGCCAAATCACAGCCCAACAATGACAGTCACATTCTGACGACCTAAAGGCAACTTTCTTTGCAGTGAACTTGGCTGGCATGACACTTGCTTTAAGAGAATTCGCATCACAAAATGACACAGCTTTCCAGAGTCGTACCCGTGGCAGGGAGGTCTCACCTGGTGGAAGCAAGCACAGACACTCAGGGCCGGCTCAGACAGTCGCCACGCGGGGACCCAGGGGCCAGGGGTCAGCCACTGCCCAACAGATCACATTCCCTTTCAAACAGGTGAGCTAACTTTAGATCGCTTGAAACTGATCTTCCTTGATAAGCTGTTTAAAATAAGACTGGATTCTGCAAAAATGTCCCCCCAACAGTAAACCTCAATTACAATGTAAGCTTGAATTAACGTTGGAGTGGGGGAGGGTGAGTGGACGGGAAGAGCTGTTGGCAGGTTTGTAAACGCTGACCCTAGCCTGGAGAGCTTGGGCGAGGGTGCTATGCTTGCTGAGGCCTGTGCACGCCAGGCCTTCTGTGTCAACCAGTGAGTGAGACAGATGAGACGCAGCCGCTGGTGGGGAAAAAAAAACGGCGCATTTCTTTAAGGTAGACTTCAGTGTCTTTCCAAGTTTCTTTTTGTTAAATTATGAACAGGTACAGTAGATGAAAGATAAAAGCCACAAACCTGATCCGAATCCAGAAGGCAGTAGTTAACCCGTAACTGAACCAGCTGTGCCAGCAAATCCAAAACCTGCTTCTGTAACTGCACAGAGGTGGTTGTCGTGTACTGTTTTAAAGCTTTTATAACAAGAGGCTCAAACAAACGAATGTGATTATGAATAGCATTCTACGAAAAAATAGAGAAAGCAAGAATCTGTAAGTGAGTCTTCCACTGCAGGCAGCTTGGAGGCCCCAACCTGGAACGTGCCTAGCGTGCACCTGCCGGCTCCCCGTTACCTTGTCCGCGCGGTTCTTTGCGACGCTGGTGAGGTTTGTCTTCAATTGGGTAGACACTTTCTGGAGTACGTCAAACCACCTGCCAGGCAGAAAGAAAGGTGAGCAAAGAATACCCTTAAATACTCTCCTATGTATCCAGCTATACTCCAGGTCAAACTAATTCAATTTCACAAAATCAGAGCGCTTTAGAGTCAGAAAGAACGATAATAGCCATTCAACGTAGCGGCATCAAGCTCCTCTTTTAGTGAAGATAATCAGGTGAAACAGTTTACAGCTGACCGACAGCCATCAAACCTTGTCACCTGCAGCAGGCTACCCGAGACAGAGCTTTCCTCTGCTACAGAAAAATCACCACTCAGCCCCATGTGTAGTGGGGCCAGAGAGGTGACGGTCATTTGAAAGATTCAGTGATTTAGAAGATACCACTTGATTTCCTTGGGAAAAAATTTCTTTACATCAATTATACCCTTTTCTTTTTAAGAAACACAATATTAAATGACAGTAATCAGACACTTGCTTGTTTTATTTATACCCCATATTATTAGACAAAGTATTTAAAGAATCTTATTCCCGAGACTTGGAAAAATAGTAAGTACATGACCAATTAAAGCCCGAAACGTGGACATTTTCCTAAAATACTCTAGTATTTTAACTGTAGCTGTTTTATCACTACATCTACATAAAGAAAAACCAAGAATTCTACTGTTACTACAGAGTAGTAACTCAAATATGCACTAATAATTGATGGTAATTTAAGAAACTACTGTAATTCCAGGCACCATAAACAACTATAAATTTGAGTGAAAACAGACTTTTAGCCATAAAGTTACAAAACAGAGAGTAATAATACCTATGCCCTCTACACACTAGCACTACTGAGCCACCTGAGTTACAGGCCCCCAAAGCGCCACCAACACACAGGACCTTACTCTAAAGGGAAATGTCGTCATGCGCCCTGGGGAATAGCGTGTCCCCTTTCTGGCTGGCTGACGAATCAGCAGTGAGTGCGCTTCCCGGAAAGCCCGCTCAGCACTCCTCTCCCCCAGCCCAGCCCTGCCGAGACACTGAGGCGCCCGCAATCTCACCCACTGGACCACATGCTTCTCTGGAGGCAGGGCCATGCCTTCAGCATCCTTGCAGCAAGCACACTTTCTAGAGTTCTCTGAACACAGGAGACTATCAGAAGGTTACCCTGAAGTGTCGTGGTCCTGCTCTGCCTGCACCGTGTTCCTCAGGCTGGCGTCGGCTAAGGCCTGGGTGAAGTGGGTGTACGGAGCCATGAAGCAGTAATGGTACAAGCCCGGCCTCACGCTGGAGGAACCAAGGCGCTGAGCACGCCCTTGAGACTTGCTGGGGTTGGAAGATAAGCCATCAAACTGGGAGGCCAAGTTTGTCCCAAAGAGAGTCTTCAACAGCTAGAGTGGAAGAATTGCAGCCATCAACATCTGAAGTAACACAGAATCTCCCACACAAATATCAAACCTGCCTTATATATAACTGGGCATGTTAGCAAAACTTCAGCTCGCACAGGACAGTGGAGGGAGACCAGGACACCAGCTAAGTGACAAGAGGCCAGCACAGCTTCTGAGATCCTCTGCCCCCATGGGGGCGAGCGTCCTCCTCCTGGACCACGAGGGAGGAGCAGCCCTCTTGGCCGGAGAACAGCGGAGTGAGCAAAGGCGGGACAGGTGGGGCTGCCGGACGCGCCACCAGCACCACCTTCTGAACGACGGGCAGCATTACATCAGCGTGCCGGGGTGAAGGGCTTAAAAGAAACTGCTTTCTGACCTGCTGGACACAAACAGTTGCCATCACTGGTTCTCGACTGAAGCAGGATTTCAGGTACCCCAGGATCTCTTCGACACACTGCAAAGGACAGGCAGCAAGACATTAAAGTAAGCAATTCACAGATACTTGTTGTGGTGAATTCTGCACGGAGAGCAGGCCACTGGACAGCTTCCGTTTAAATTGTGTATAACAGTAAACATCAGAGGACAGTCAGAAGAAGCTTTTCACGTACTGCCAGCAGAGAAAGTCAGTAAAAAGCATGGAAATCTAAGCAGCCATGTCTCACCCTTCCTTTCATGCATTTATACATTCTTTCTTTCTCTCACTCATCCAGAAACTGTGCATCAAGGATCTGCTGTGCCCTCGGCATCCAGCCCTGCTGTCAGGGCAGGAGCTCAGAGTCTACAAAGGAGTGAAAGCCCTGCATTTGTGGGGCCCCTGCAGAGGTTCAGCTGAACGTAGCACATACTACATCAAGTGTGATTTACCACAAAAAGCCCTAGACATTTCCCTTTAGCGTAAGGTCCTGTGTCCGACGGCAACCTGCAAAAATGACCAAAATGACTGCCTTCAAACGACTGTTCTCACAAACTGTTTTTACCAGCCTCAGAAATGAGGTCCATGTTATCCAAGGTCCCTGAAGACATGAACGGTCCAGGCACCAGCATCAGCAGCTCCCCCCTCACCGCCCACCTGGTCCCCAGACACTGCTTCTATCAGACCAACTAGAATGAAAAGGCCTCTCACTTCATTTGTTTGGTATATTTCCTGCACTAAAAAGCAACAGATTTCTGTTGATTTCAAATACTCAGGACCATGTCTTTTTAAGATTCTGATTTATTCCTATTGGACTAGATATCCAAGGCTATACTCTGCAGGGCTGAGTTTGTTCCACGTCACCTTGTTTTCACTAGCTCATAGCAGGCAACTAAGAAGTGCGAACCGGAAGAATTACAACCAGAGCCTTCACATCACAAATTGCCTAACAAACAACCACGTCTCTTAACAAACACGTATGAAACGCTCCGTGTGCAACAGAAGCTGAGTTACAGGCACTGAAAACAGGTGAGAAGAGGATGCTGCTGTTAGCGGCCTTCAAGGAAACAAGTCCCGGGCACGGATATTAACATACAACATAATGAAGGGAGACTTCCACTCCTGGCCAATATGGAGTAAGAGGAACCACATTTACCCTACAGCCAAACAACCAAAAAAACCCAATATATGAAACCACAGTTCCAAGACAGTGACCAGGAGGCACTGGAGGACAGGCATCCCTGAGAAATGGGAAACCAGCAAGTCAGTCCTACGACTGCCCCAGGTCACTGCCCTCAGAGAGCTCCTGGGTGGTGGCACAAGGGCAAGGGACAGAGCAGAGCTCAGGGGACCCCCCCGAGTCGGGGAGGAGCTGAGAGTCCGGGGAAGCGGGAACAGTGAGGGCTCCAAAGAAGAGAGAGCACCCAGAGAGGACTCTGTAGACCGGGGGAGGCCCTGGGAGCCGCTCAACACGTGCGTAAGGAAGGGTCAGAGGGCACAGCGCTCCGAACTCACACAGGGCTGGAAGAGTGACTGCTCTCCCCAACTGGGTTTGTGGGGCGCCAGCTAGAACCAGGGAGGCCTTGCCTCGGTGGTGGAAGAACTGGCCCTGGACTAAGCACTGCTCCCACCCACTGAGTTGACATGTGGAAAAAGTGAAAGGGACAGTGAGGAGAAACAGAAGACAACGTGTACAGTGATTAAAGCCAGGTAAGCTTTACGCAAATCGAGAAAAAGATGGAGAGAAATGGGGCTTCCCTGGTGGCGCAGTGGTGGAGAGTCCGCCCGCCGATGCAGGGGACGCGGGTTCGTGCCCCGGTCCGGGAAGATCCCACATGCCGCGGAGCGGCTGGGCCCGTGGGCCGTGGCCGCTGAGCCTGCGCGTCCGGAGCCTGTGCTCCACAACGGGAGAGGCCGCAACAGTGAGAGGCCCACGTACCGCCAAAAAAAAAAAAAAAAAGAAAGAAAAAGATGGAGAGAAATGAAAACAAAGGAACTTCACTGTATTCCACTTCTAAGAGACACACGTTTAAGGAGGGCTATTGGTAACTCACTTTGAAATTCATTAGAAACTAAGATGCCCCGGTAGCTGGACAGGTGGATCCAAACACAGTAGAGCAAGTGGACAAAACGGTACCTGCTAGATCTGGTCGCGGACACGACACGGGCACTCACCACATGACCTCTTAACTCTCCCGTGTGCTTGAACATGTCCCCACAACACGTGGGTGGTGCAGGGAGGTTACTGGGCTTGGAACCGAAGTCCACGAGCCTCAAGCACAGCTCTGCTGCTTCCTGAGGCACCAGAAGAACAAGCCACACCCCAGAGACTGCTCTGACCTTGCCATGTGCGAAGGTCAAATAAAGTAAAGGACTCTGTCAACAGTTTTAAACCCACCCATTTTTAAATTCATCTGGGTCTGAGCTAATTTAGAGCCAAAAGTGAAAACAGGATACAAATAGAAGCCCGCCCCCGGCAACTTCAGGCTAAGACAAGAATCAGACTCAAGGGCCCAGACTGCAGAACCTTCTCCCCACTTTGTGAATGTGCCGGGATGGTGGGGTTTCGCCCTGGAGGCACTCGGCCCAGGGTACACCTCAAGCGTGCCAGCTACAGCTCAACGAGAAGAAAGGAAACACAAACCTTCCCGATGTCCTGCAGTGTTGCCAACTCTAGAATCTGAGAGAGAACATCCAAGGCAGAGCGCAGAAAAGCCCCAAACTTTTCGGTGTTGCTCTGAAGATCCAAGGTGACCTTGGGAAAGTGGAGGGAGAGAAGGCACACATGATTGCTGGCAGCATCCCGGTCACCTGACACAGACACACACTGTCCGCTGTGGTGTGTTCCCTAGGCAGCGCGACACTCACCATGGGGGGGTGGGGGGGGGGTGGGGTTCTGTTTGTTTGCTTGTTTTTAGCACTGGGAAATGCCTCGGAAAGGAAATTACTCTTCCGGATCGCTATATAAACACTATTTTCAAAGGTGTCTTCCAACGTATACTGATGCTACCGAAAGAAATAATTCCTAACCTTCTATCATAATGAGAAAAAGAATGTTTAATGCCCATCATAACCAGTGCCTGATAAGCAGCATATCAAAAAATATAAAACACATGTCCTCTTCCACCCATTAAGATCCCTGGGGGAAATCATTATCAAATTCAGACACAACCTTTCAGTCTGGCTACAACAAAATATTAAATTAGTCTTAAGAGGTATTAAGTTAAGATCCTAAAGGACCCAACTGAATTAAATTATGTAGCAATTTCCCCCATTTAACAGACTGAGAGAAGGGTCAGGGCCAAAGATATAATATGTAAGAACAAGGGTGAGGGGGAGGGATTGACTGTGAAAATAAAAACCGGCAAAAATCCTACAAAAACATTACAATAAGTAAATAGGAATTTGCTCACTGAAATAAAATCTAACCACCCCTGTTGAAAGAGGAAACACTTTCTGGGCAAAGGGAGAGGAAAGCAGGTGAGAAACAGACACAGAAAACGAACATGTAAGTGTATCCCAACACTGTGACCACTGTCACGTCAACCTGAGGGTGTTCACAACAGGCCAAGGAAGGAAGGAAAAATCCAGGAGAGAGACCCCCTAAGACCCAGGGACAGGCGGCTGCACGACGCCAGGTCCCAGGGAAAGCAGGCGGGCAGGGGTTCACCTCCAGCAGGCACAGGGCGTTGGATGGGGGTCGGGGAGAGAGCAGGGAAGGCCTTTCCTGAATAGCGAACAGATGTGAGAACTAGGGTCGAAGGGCTCTGAGGAGAGCTGAGGAAGGACTTGGACACTGGGAGTGACGCAGCGGGAGCCCAGGGGTCAAGCAAACAATGCAGAGCAGGAGAGCAGGACACCCAGTGGGGCAGCAGCGGAGGTGAGGAGGCAGTGATGAAAGACCTCAGGACACGCCAGCCGCTCCAAACACACACACGCAGTCTGCGCACAGCAACTCAACCAGGAGGCGGGACTCCGAGACTCCAGGGAGGCCAAAGGTAAAGGGGTCCACCTTGGAGTCCGGGGCATTCAGGAAGGGAGACGATGGAGAGGGAAGAGAGGATGGAGGGATGCTGCAGAGAACATGGGCGGGGGGTCCCCCAGAGCCGAAGATGACGTCCACTGAGAACAGGTGGAAAGGAAACATCTTCTCTGTGCGGGATTTTAAACATACCCTCCTCCACTTTAGAGCTTGATGTGAGAAACATCCGGCTAAAGAGAGCCTCCAAATCTTTTATCTTTAAAAATTATCTATATCCTTCAGAAAACAAACCAGATAAAGTTTGTAAATGGTTTTTAAAAAACTGAGATGTATCTATTAGTAATGAAAAAAAGGATGACTACGAGTCACGTTTGTGAAAAAACGTGCAAGGTCTATGTGAGGTATCTTTTAAAATTACTTTTAAAATTCTTTAAACTTCTTGTGCTTCTGAGGTGCCTTTCTGAGGAAACAGGAAGTTTCCAACACAACAAAAAGCATCTCACACTCTGGACAGGCAGGCTTAGCATGTCAGATATCAGTTCTCCCCAAATTAATCTACAAATTTAACACGATCCCAATGGAAAAACTCTCAACTTTCTTTGGAATTAAATAAGCTTATTCTCATGTCCATATGCAAAAATAAGTAAGAATATCCAGGGAAATTCTCAAGTAAAATGGGGCAACTGATCTCCTCAAAAATACATTATGAAGCTACAATAATCAGGAAGTGTGCTTCTAATGGATGAACAGAGGGACAGACTGATATAATAAAGCTGTAAATGGAAACATAGAACTATGAGAATTTAGTATGTGATACAGGTAGTATTTCAAAACCCACTAGTGCCGGAAAATGGACTATTTGGGAAACTGTAGGGGCAACTGGTTAGGCAGCTGGGAAAAAAACCTGTTAGATGCATACTTCATATCTAACAAATTGCAGACAGAATAGTCTAAACACACAAAACACTGAATGGAAGAAAACAATGAAAAGCCCTAAATGAAACCGTGGGAGATTTTCCTTAATAATCTCAGAATAAGGGGAGTTCCCTGGTGGCCTACTGGTTAGGATTCTGGGCTTTCACTGCTGTGGCCGGGATTCAATCCCTGGTCAGGGAACTGAGATCCCGCAAGCCACGCGGCGCAGCCAAAAAAATAAATAAATAAAATATAATAATCATCATCATCTCAGAATGAGAAAGTCCTAAGTAAGAAACATACCTGTGCAAGAGAAACAAAAGAGCAGAACGCTATCCTTCCAGAAAGCTGCTTGCAAGGTTGGCCCTCGGGGATGCCTGGGAACTCAGCCAGTAAACAGTTCCCTAGACTGACGTCAGACTCTCCCTGAGCACTAAGGGTGGCTCACTGTGCCTGGACTGCCTTATCAAACAATGTGTTGATGCTGGACCCCTGCTCTCCTCTGTGAGTGTGAATTTTGGTTTGTGAAGGCAGAGGGAGCCTCTGTAACCAGCACGCGGCTGCACTTTAGTTGAGGGCGGGGGCGGGTGGGGTCCTCCGAGTGGCCCTCATGGGGGGCAGAGGTTGCTCCAGACTCCGCCGGCATCCTTCCCCTCAGGGGCTGGCTATGTGTCCTCCCCGCCCTGCCGTGAGGAACCCTCGCTGTGAGTACAACCACATGCTCAGTCCCACAAGACCTTCTAGCGGATCTCTGAACATGGGCGATCTTGGGACGCACAGACACGACATCAATAAATCATAAAGACACCACTTTCCCAATGAAAATCCTAAACTTTTGTATGATGGAAGCTACCGTAAACAAAGCTGAAAGACAAACCTGAAAAAGCTAACTGTAACTCATATCCCAAAGGTCTAACTTACTTACTTATATATGTATGTCTAGAAGCTACAATCTTAAGGAAAACATCGACAATCCTCTGAAATGTGAGTGAGTGTATTTTTACAAAAGCAGCAGTACCTTGTAGTTTGCGTGTGTAGCTTTCAGGACATCGTGCAATTTAAGGTAAGAAGGAAGGTGACAGAAACTCCCCAATGACGAGGACTTGGTTGCTGCAACAGGCCCTGAGGTTTCAGACGGTCGAGAGGCTTTAAACACACCACACAAAATAAACTTTTAGATCAAAAGTAAACACACACCAAGTTTAAAAAAGATTGCCAATAATAATTATTTTTATTGTACTCTAGTAGGATAAAATTCAAATTTTTCCTGACTTTTTGATTAATTCACAATAACAAGAAATTGACTAATGAACATAAGTAGACTCTGAGTACCGCCCATAAGATGACAAAATAAAATAGAAAGAAGAAAAAGAAGAAAAGCAGTGTGATGCTATTATGTGTTTGGTTTGGCCTGGCTGCCTGTTTGTGAATCAGAGGAACAACTGACGTGACCTTCAGTCAATCTCAAAACATCTCGGAGCACAAGGCTCCCAGGGGCACGATGGGGTTGACCTCTGGTCAACTTAGGTCATGAGCCCTGTAAGCAATCAAACAGGGGTGATGTGAACATGCTCTGAAAACTGTAAGGGTACACACACTATCATTAAGCTGATATTAAATATTAAATGCCAAGCACCGTGTAAGATTTAAAAGATTTATGATTTGGGGTCCTTAGTTTATTTAATGCATCAGAAAGATGATCAGTCACATACTGATAACTTTGCATTTATAAAGTTCTGAAGCTTTTTAGCTGATAAATCTTCCACTGGTATCGTCATCAATACTTAGAAAATAGTTTCTTTTAAAATGCTTTACTGCTGGGGCTTCCCTGGTGGCGCAGTGGTTGAGAGTCCGCCTGCCAATGCAGGGGAAACGGGTTCGTGCCCCGGTCCGGGAGGATCCCACATGCCGTGGAGCGGCTGGGCCCGTGAGCCATGGCCACTGGGCCTGCGCGTCTGGAGCCTGTGCTCCACAACGGGAGAGGCCACAGCAGCGAGAGGCCCGCGTACCACAAAAAAAA